CTCCCTCTCTCTCCCTCTCTCTCCCTCTCTCTCTCCCTCTCTCTCTCTCTCCCTCTCTTTCCCTCTCTCTCTCCCCTCGCCTGCCCTAGTCCCCAAACTCCCTGTCCCCTGTGCCCCTTCCTGGGATAACATGCTGTTCTTCACCCTGCTGCTAGAGGTGCTTTGGATCCTGGCTGCAGATGGCGGTAGGTACATCTGGACGTCTGTATGTCTGTCCGTATTGACGCCCACTGTCGCCATGTGTGTTTAATGGGGGGAGGAGGTAGAGAAGGAAGCCCAGGGGCTGGAGTATTCAGCTCAAGGGTGGCAAGGACAGAGGGGAGTGGGAGGAGACGGCTCCCCTTCTTTTTGCCTTTCCAGCCTTGCTGGGCACGGCAGAGGACAGGCGGGGACCACCTTACATACGCACATGTGCAGGAATCTTTTTGCAGGCTAGATTCTCTGGGGCTCTTTTCCCTATCGCCCTAGTCCGAGGCAGCCTCCTGGCCTTCTTTATTTCCCAACTTCTCCCATTAGGGATCCAAGAAGGCCTGGAGTGAAAGGACAGAGGGCTGATGAGGGAGGGGGGTACTGAATCCTACTCTAGCCTACTCCACATCTCCTGCCTAACTCAGCCCCTGATCCCCTACTGACAGCCTCATGCCAAAGGTCCCTTCTTGATTCCATGGAGCAACTGATTTCCCAGTTTTTTTCCTGAAAGCAGTAGCACTAATAGTGAGCATGTATTCAGCCCTTTACAAAGGGCTTTTGGGAGGCCCCAGGGGATGAGGAGGGGGCTCTTGGGCAAACAGGCCAGGGCAGTTCAGGAGTGTCCCCAGGAACTCTCTGCACCTCGTTTTTGTGTTTCCTGTGTCTAGTGCAGTATCCAGCCCATAATAGGTGTGTAATGAAGGTTTGTTGGAAGAACAAAGGAGCCCTGGTGGCGCAGTGGTTAAGGGCTCAGCTGCTCACCAAAAGGTCAGCAGTTTGAATCCACCAGCTGCTCCTTGGAAACCCTCTGGGGCAGTTCTACTCTGTCCTATGGAGCTGCTAAGAGTAGGGCTTGGCAACGGGTTTGGAAGAACAAGGTTGTGGGGGGGTCTGGGGAGGAGAACGGCAGGGCAGAGAGGATGACGTGGGACTGAGGGAATTTGAATGGAGAGTCATAAATCACATCTGAAAAACAGAAAAATAGGAAAAGAAGAGGAAGAGATGTGGAATCAGGGAGGGCTTGGTGGGAGGGGAGAGCGAGGTTGTCAGCCTGTGCAGAACCAGGCAATCTGAGTTGTCAGGGCGTCCCACAGAGCTGGTAAATGAGAGGCTGCTTTTCTGAGTATTCTTAACTGAGAAATGGGTCAGCAGAGTATGCCAAGGATGAGATCCAGGACGTCCAGAAGTCTGTGGAATTTAAGAGAATAAGAGGAAGAGGGAGGAAGGGATATAGGATTTCCTCCAGTTTTCCTAATGCAGAGAAAACCCACAAGAAGGCCTCCCTTTCCCCCTTGAAGCAGCTTGGCCCTGGTCGGGGGCTGGACCAGCAGACCCCTGGGCCCTTCCGTCTGGAACAGGACTGCACAAGAGCCTGGCACGTGACCCCGCTGGCAGCCCGCTCTTCCACACACAAAGCTTCACTTTCATCACATCCCTGCCAGCCTGGCTGCGTGTGCCCACCCACCACCCTCAACCTAGAGTAGACCCTGCCCTGACTCTCACACTCCCCTAACTATCCGGGGATCTAGGAAGTTGAGACTCCAATGCCAGAGTCAGAAAGGAAGAACTGAAATGTTAATTTACAGCTGTTGCCCTTGAGTCACACAGGGCTTCAAAGCAAATGAATAATCCCCCTCCCCCTCTTCTCAGTGGTACCCCCTACTCCGAACTTCTTTTCCCTCCCCATCCTAGTCCCCCTCCCCAAACACTCGGCCCCCACCCTTACTCCATCCGTTCCTAACCTTCCGAACGGATAGGTCGGCTTGGCACAGGTTACAGAAAAGTAGGGGGTGGGTTGACTGCACACTGGGATCCAGGTCAATTTTAGTCTCTGGGCTTTATCTCCCTACATTCCTCCTTCCCCTTTACTCAGCAAGCACAGCCCGGCTGTGGATTTTAAATAGACCCCCGACATTTCCACGGAGGTGTCCTGTTTCAGGGCTTCCCCTGGGAAGTGCTGAAGTTGAGGGAGGTGAGGGAGCAGAGAGGGAGGTGGCGCCCTGCCCGGGGAGCGCTGAGGCCAGGGCTCTGCCCCAGGCTGGGCTGGCGGTAACCCAAACCACTCTGCCTTGCAGGTCAACACTGGACTTACGAGGGTAAGAACGGAACCGAGGGTCCTTCCTCCTGCTGCCCCTTTCACAGTGGGACCTCTCTCCACTGCCGTCAAGTTGATTCTCACTCACAGCGACTCTATAGGACAGAGTAGAACTGCCCCAAACGGTTTCCAAGGCTGTAAATTTTTACAGAAGCAGACTGCCACATCTTTCTCACGCGAAGCGGCTCGTGTGTTTGAACCTTTTGGTTAGCAGCCGAGCGCTTTATAACCACGGCACCACCAGGGCTCCTGGGAGCTCCTCAGCTGGCAGGAAGTCTTGTACCATGTTTAGCTTCTCACCCTAGCTCCTCTCCTTCCCCATCTCCCCGTCCCTGGGTTTTGCATATATGGCTCCTAGACCCTGTTCTTACCGTCAAATCCCACACCTCCTGATTGGCAGAAAAGCCAGGTAGGTCCTCAGTAAATCTGGGGGGTGGGGGGTGGGGGAGCTGGAGTGGACAGAAAACTAGGTGAGAAGGGAACCCTGAGCCTCACTGCCCTTTCTCCTCCGGGCTCTCTCTATCCTAACTGATCCCACTCCCATCCCCCAACCTGCACTGTGCATCGGGACAGAGCTTGTTGGCAGAGATGAAGACAAGGCTGGCAGGGTAGTTTGTGACCCTGGGGAGGGTGGAGCTCAATTCCTTTGTCCTTTGAACCTTTGATCAATGACTTAACCAGACTCCAGAGCCAATGTGAGGCCCAGCGTAAGAGCAAGAAGTGAAGGATGGAAAGGCAGGATATCTGAATCCCAAGGCCACTTGAAGGGGACCCCAAGGAGACCCTATCTCTTCAGACTCATTTTATTTCACCCGTTCTCCTACTCCTATTGGCCAATCCCATCTCTCAGGGTTTGCAGGCTTTCTATCCATCCCCTCTTCTCCTCATCCAGCTTTCTTGTCCTTAAACTACAGGTAAGTGAAAGAGCTACTGCTCCCCACGTATCAGGAGAGTTGGGGAGTCATCATTGCCTCTGCGTAGGCAACGGGAACTGCAGCCTAAAGGCAGCAGGGACTTCTACCTCACCCAGCCTTGCACAACTGGGGGCTTAGCTGGGGGGGGTGCATTTCTACCCCCCACAGGTATAAAGTTGGTGGGAAGGGGGTGCTGGAGAAGGGTGGCTGGGGCTGGAGAGCCGGACAAACGTCCTTGGTAACCCCCACTAGGCCCACATGGTCAGGACCATTGGCCAGCCTCTTATCCTGAGTGTGGAGGCAATGCCCAGTCCCCCATCGACATCCCGACGGACAGTGTGACATTCGACCCCGAGCTGCCTGCTCTGCAGCCTCATGGATATGACCAGCCTGGCACTGAGCCTCTGGACCTGCACAATAATGGCCACACAGGTAAAAGCTCCAAGGTGTCAGCTCCAGTTCCAATCTTAGGATTCAGAGGAAAGAAACATTCTCCTAACTTCTGAGTTCTCAGGTTTCATCCATGAATTTGGGGATATAAGAATGGGGATCAGGCTCGTGTAGCCAAGGTGGAAATTCAAAGACTATGATCAAGCTTTATGGGTGGATTAGTATCATAGCATTGACTTGATCCCTCCTGGGAAAAGGGGCAGCGTGCTAGAAAAGCATTCATCTACTGAAGGAATGGGGTGCTATTGAAGGAAAAAGGCTGGGTACATCTCCCCAGAAATGATGGCAATCTAGGGGTGGGAATGAATCCACATTCCTCCACCAACCCTAGGCTGCTCTCTTCCTCACAGTGCAACTCTCTCTGCCCCCTACCCTGTATCTGGAAGGATTTCCCCGAAGATATGTAGCTGCTCAACTCCACTTGCACTGGGGTCAGAAAGGATCCCCAGGGGGGTCGGAGCATCAGATCAACAGTGAAGCCACAGCTGCAGAGGTACCAGAGGGCAAAGAGTTTGGACTGGGACACAGTGACAGGGCTGGTCAGTGCTGAGGAAAAGGATCTGGACACCGAGATAAGTCATACTGGGGACATAAAGCCAACTTTGGTGAGACAGACTTAGGGGATGTTGGGGGTCAGAGTGGTTAGGGTCTAGGGGAAGGAAAGGGAAGTAACATGAAATGACTCAACTCCTTCTGCCTTCACTCAGCTCCACATTGTACATTATGACTCTGATTCCTACAACAACTTGAGTGAAGCTGCTCAGAAGCCTCAGGGCCTGGCTGTCCTGGGCATCTTAATTGAGGTCAGTGACCCCAAATCCTTCCGCAGGTCTCTCCACTCTCTGTGCATCCTTCAGTCCTATTCTGCCTTGTCTGTCCATTTACCCTTTACCTGGATGTCTTACTCCGAACTTGGACTCTTACTCCAAACCCTGTCCCTTTCCTTCCCTCCTAGGTGGGAGAGACCAAGAATCCAGCTTATGAGCATATTCTGAGTCACCTGCATGAAATCAGGCACAAAGGTGAGCCCTAAAAATCTACAGTAGGAGGAAGTGAAATTACACTTTAGGGAAACTTGCAAACTGGCCTAAGAGGCCTGGGATGAGGCAAGTTAGGGGCCAGGGAGTTTGCTGCTGGGAAGCCAGTCTAGGTGAGCTAGGGCACAGTGGGAGAAGATGAGTCCTGGTCTGTTCTCCCCAGATCAGAAGACCTCAGTGCCTCCCTTCAACCTGAGAGGGCTGCTCCCCCAACAGCTGGGGCAGTTCTTCCGTTACAATGGCTCACTAACCACGCCCCCTTGCTACCAGAGTGTGCTCTGGACAGTCTTCAGTGGAAGGGCCCAGATTTCCATGGGCCAGGTGAGTGGTGGAGAGGTGAGGCAGCAGAGACCTAGTTGTAACCTCACACCCCTTCCCACGCCCCAAAGCCACACTTCTCCTCTAATCCCACTGTTCCGCTCCTCAGCTGGAAATGCTCCAGGAGACATTGTTTTCCACTGAAGAGGGGCCCTCCAAGCTCCTGGTACAGAACTACCGAGCTCCTCAGCCTCTCAATCAGCGAACAGTCTTTGCCTCTTTCATTCAAGGTGACTGTTAAAAGGAGACGGGAAATTGGGGGCCTCAAAGGGCAGGCACTGGGGAGCCTCTAAGAAGGAAAAAGGCTAAGAGGGGAAGGTGTCTCCAGGACTTGCTTAGACTGGGAGCAACCCCCAACCCCTGGTGTCCAGGTGATTTTCCCAGGCACAGAAGCAGAGTGTGCTGCTCCCAGCTGGGACAGGGATCTCAAGTCCCACTGACCCAGGTTTTCTTCCCTTACAGTGGGATCCATATATACCACAGGTAAGGCAGTCCCACCCAGCTCCTGGGGGTGGGGGGAGGGTGGGGAGTGACTTCAGCAAGTGGGAGCACGGTTACTAGGTTAGCGCAAGGCTGACACCTGCCATCTTTCCTCCCTAGGAGAAAGGCTACTAGGTTAGCGCTAGGCTGACACCCGCCATCTTTCCCTCCACAGGTGAAATGCTGGGTCTAGGTGTGGGAATCTTGGCTGGCTGTCTCTGCCTTCTGCTGGCTGTTTATTTCATCGCTAGAAAGATTCGGTGAGCTCCTGCTTTCCATTCACCCACTCCTTTCTTTTCTATTGAAAAGCATTATCCCATGGCACGTCTAATCTGCTTCCCATGAACCTTTCCCCCTTTCAGGAAGAAAAGGCTGAGAAGCCAGAAGAGTGTAGTCTTCACCTCAGCACGGGCCACCACTGAGGCATAGTCTCCATCTCAGACATCCTGGATGCCTTCTCCTCACGCCTATCAGGGAGCTTCTAAAATGGGGAGCAGGGATTGGCCACAAATCCTGTAGGAGTAGCAGGTAGACAGCCCCCCTGCCTCTGGACACCCCCTTCAGAGAGGCAGGGGCCCAGGTTCTCAATCAACAACAGCAGAGCCTTCACCCTGTCCAAACGCGTGGGAGATGGGGAGACCCTGTGTCGTCAGTGCAGAGGCCAACTTTGTGCGTAGCTGTAGGGGAATCCCGAAGTGCCCCGACTCCCCCACCTTTCTGTCCCTTCCCCTAGGTGTACTGCAGGGTCTGCTCTTAGCACATGGGCTGCTGTTGTTCTATTTTTTTGCTCGGTATATTTGGAAATTAAAAGTTTCTGACTCCACCTCTGACGGGAGAGTTCCTTAGTCTCTCAGACGATGGAGATGCGCATGCGCAAAGGATGGCGCGCGGGGTTGGGGGCCCGCCAAGGGTGATTAACTCCTTCCATCCCATTCCTGGAAGGGAAGAGCCACTTCTGGGAAAATAGCTGATGTGTTACATTCCCAGTCTAGGTTTCTGCCCTGGAACCGAAGCCGTGCCTGGAGGAGGCCAGGGACTGCCAGGTTAGGAACGAGGCTGGACAAGGAACACAAGAGGGCAGAAACCTCAATTAACGTGGTCTCCCCACCCTTCAAAGCCACGTTCCCCCACAATTATAAAGTCTTTTTTATTAGTCAAAATCATAATCACCTGATTAAAAGGATGGCACACTCCACCCTCAGCAGAAAATGATACAGTTTATAGAAAACCTCCCCGCCCCACCACCCCAATTAAAAACTACAGAAAAATCTGCCTCCTTCCCTGCGATGCTGCGGGAACGGGGTCCCCGCAGCGGCGGGCCCTGCAGCGGCCAGCTCACAGCAGCACCCTCCATTTCACCTGGGGGGGAGGAGGGGTGCTGGTGGTCCAGGAGGTGAAAACAGTTAGTTCCAGTAATACCAGTTCTCAACCCCAAACATGCACTCCCCTCCTCTCCCCCACGGCCTGGCCCGGGAAAGGCGGCCAGACAGATGCCCAGCCATGAGGAGCAATCGGAGGAGGGAAAACATAGCCCAAGGTGGTAAGGAGAAGAGCTCTGACCTCCCTCCCTCCTCCCCGCCTCCACTCAAACAGAAAAAGGCAGTTTGGGGTCTTTATCACACCAAAAATGGTTCCCCTCAGACCTGAGAAAAAGACCAAGATGTCCAGTCTGGGGAGAGGATACTGGGAAACTCAGAGCCCGTCCACCCTGGAGCCTGCATCAGTCTCATCTCCGGGCGGGGCAATGGTTAAGCTAGATCCCTTTTCTGGGCCCCTGCACTGTCCAGAACTGGACGTGGAGAAATACAGGGCGAGGAGATCAGGAGGGCACCCCAGGCCCAGGGGTACCCCCCCAGGTTCCCTCAGTCCTCGGGTGGGATGCGCAGGGCAGAATACAGCATCACCCGACTGTCCTCCTGCCGTCGGCCTGCAGAGGGGAAGGGGGGTGAGTCTTGGGCAGGGTGAGAGCAGAGCACTGACACATGGGGAGTCCTGGACAACAAGGGGGTCCCCAGGTGGTGGGGATAAGTGGAGATTTAAACCCACCAGTCACTGACTGGCTAACCCCAGGCTGCTCCTGCTAAAACCTAGAGGCTAAAGGTCACGAGTGGACAAAACCAAACCCTGAAGGTGGTGGTACAGACCGACGGGGAGACAGAACGGTGGGCAATGGGCCTGGGCTAGGGCAGGGCTGAGTCATGGGCAGTGGGCAGGCAGGTGGGTGATCTGCAGGCCATCAGTCCAGGTAGTCAGTCCTTACACGAGAGGCAGTGCTGGATACTTCGGAGGGACCCTCCAGCTGTGACGAAGGCCCAGAGCCCCATGAACACAGTGACCGCATAGATGGGCAGCAGGCTGGCCTCGTACCAGGGGTTCAGGAATGTCTGGGGATGCATTTAAGAGTGGAAAAGAGATTATTTTCTCCCTCTCCTCCCCACACCTAATCCTATGCTCGCTGTGTGCCTTTGACCCAAACCTACCCAGGTATCTCACTCAAATCCCCTAGTCCTTCAGAGCACCAGCATCTTGTGGTCAAGAGCACTTTTGATTTTCAGCTTCCTCAGACGTTTCTGCCACTCCTGCTCACCTCAGGCCATCTGCATTAGTTGGACCAACCTCTTCAAACACCTCCTGGGCAGAATCCCCAGAGCAGGTTCTACAATTGGTTCTGAGAGACCCCTAAAGACTCACTCTTCTGCCTCCTCCCAAGGTCAGTTTTAAAATGTTAAGAAGAGAAAGTATACTTTCCCCGTCCCACTCACCATTAAAAACTTTTCTCCCACCTCAGGCCCTTCTCCCCAACTCACCAGTCCTGATGTCAGTAGGTGACTCCCAACCACCAGGCCCAAAGCCCAGAACCGCCTTCTCTCACAGGCATCAAAGAACACAACCCCCCAGAAGGTATGGAGCAGGATAATGGCCGCTGTCAGAAAGGCTGCAAGCAAGGAGATGGGGGTGAGACACACCCTGATTTTCTCCCAGACTCCTGGGATGTTGGCCAAAGAAGTCTCCCAGGAAAGGCCAATAAGTCAGATCACGGCCAGGGAGGGATGAGGTATGAAAGCAAGATAGGGAGTGGGTCTTACCTGAGGTCAGGAAGTAATAGGGTGAGTCTCCATGGATCCCAACCACACCTGGCCCAAGCGCATCGGCCAAGATATTGATAACAGAGAAGACACCACTGATGATACCGAAGGAGAGACCAGAAACTGGGGGGAGGGAGGTTCTCATCAATGTCAGAGATGATTATAGGCTGCTTACCAGTGACCCTTCCCCATTCCCAGTCACACCTCTCCCACGCCTAGTCTCCCTTCCAGCCATCTCTCCTGAGAGGCCAGGTGTGCAAGAAAACGAAAAGCCACTGAGAACGTGTGGATGTGTAGAGCCTTCCCAGGGGGAGGGGGTGTCCGACTCCCTCCTCCAGTTCCTCTCCCTTGGCTCACCATAGGCCATCTGTCGGATGGAGATGGGTGATCTTCCGTCCTCACTCAGCGATGCTAAACCCTCATCTGCCTTCCTGGGGTGGGGTGGGGTGGGGGAAACATGAGGGAGGGCAGGGGTGCTCCTTTCCCTCCAAAGTCCTCCCCTAGTGCCTCCTCCTCCCAGCCACCACCCAGGGGCCACCCTCTTCCCACACTGCAGTCCTCTGCCCCCCTCCCTTCCAGGCCACCCCGTCTTCTTACTTAAGCAGCTTGTAGTACGCAAAACGGAACACCTCCTGCAGAAGGACAGAGACTGCAGCACCAAAAATCAGGAGGCCATACTGGAGCCGGGCATCTGAGCGGTCAGTCACATGGACCAAGATGAACCAGACCACAGAGGCTAAGAGCAGAGAGACCAGCCAGAAAAATGCCCTGAGGAAAGACAACGGCGATCAGACAGGCAAGGGTAGGGGCAGCCAGAGAAACCCAGGAGGGGAATCAGCCAAGGCTGAAGCATGAAAAGTGGAAGTTAGACTTCCGGACGGTCAGGGAGACCGGGGACCAGATGGGGCCGGGACGCATCTGTAGAGATCGAGACACAGGGGAAGGGGTAGGGATTTGATCAAAGACTCTTCAGAGAGATGAGGGCCAGAGTGTGCGGCACGAAAGGTCGAGGTTTCCACTCCTGGATCCTCCCCAGGGGCACCTGACTCGGCCGGCCGAGGTCACGACAGACCCCTCACAAGTCTTGGCCTTAGGCCTCCTCTGACGTAGCCAGGAGGAATTCGTGCCGTCTCTGGAAGGCGGAAACCAACTGCGAGAAAGGGCAAATCGTGCACACCCTCACCGACCCTTTCCAACTTTCACCTCCGACTTGTCTCGGGCAACCCAAGCTCCCAGGCTCGCCCGAGCTGCTCCAGCCCCTTCGGGATCGCTCTCCTCGAAGCCCTCCCCCGTCTCCCCGAACCCCACTCACCCCGCGACCAGGATGATGACGCGAAGCGGGTCCCCAGCCACTGTGATCAAGAAAAGCGCAAAGGCCGGGCCGAACGCAACGAAAGTGCATCCGAAGAACACTGCGGCCCCCATGGCTGGGCAGCTGGGGCCGGGGTGGAGGCCTGGCCCAGGGAGGCGGACGGCAGCAGTGCGCCGGCTGGCAGTCCGGGCAGGGTGGCGACGCGACCCCGCGAGGGGCGCGGTGCAATGTCAACCCCAGACCCCGGGAAAGGGGAAGGGGCACCGAAACCCCAAATGAAGGTCCGCGCGACTTCCTCTACGGAAGCCGAGCTGAGGACAAACCCCGTCCACCGCCCCATGACCACGCCCATCCACTCCACACTCCCCCGAAGGCCAATGGCGACTCGGAGGGGCGGGGCGGGGGCGGGGAAGGGGGCGGGGCCGGAGCCGCACAGCCTCCTGGGAGTTGTAGTGGCCCTGCCTTTCTGAGCCCATGCGTTCAGTCCTGGGAGTGGTCCCCTTGGGGAAGAGGGGTTGGGCCGCGACGGGGCCGGGCCCGGGAGAGGATTCCTGGGAGCGGCTCCGCCTCGGCCGCGGTTTCCTTTAGTTACTTAGTGGGCAAGGGTGATAGCAATCCTACCTCTTCTTGGAGGGCTGCAGAGAGGGGAAGATCCTGTTTAAACCTAAGGGAGAAGTACAAAGATCGCACAGGATAGGGAGTGCGGGGAGAAGGGACGAGTATTGTTCTTACTTGAATGAGAGGAAATGGGCTAGAGCTGCTGCCGAAGGGATAAAGGTTAGACTTAAAAGTAGGCGCTCTTTGGACAGGCTAGTGTAGGAAACATGGGGTACGGTATATCGCTAAAGAAGCCTGCATCACAGAAGCAAGAGGAGCCTGTAGAGCAGTCTTAGGAGAGACTTTAGAGAGGATTCGGGAGTTGAAACTCTCACAGCGATGAGCTTAAAGGGAAACGAGACGACCTCCAGTCATGCTTCCTCTGTTTTCTGGAAAGGAACCTCAGCGGTGTCTTTTCCTCAGGCTAAGGGAAGGGAGAGAGGTTCCGTGCTACAGTGAAAGAAGGTTAAATTAGAAGAGGAGGTGCATAGATTGAACTGTGTCCCCCAAAATGTGCATCAATTTGGCTAGGCCGTAAGTCCCAGTATTGCATGATTGTCCACCATTTTGTCATGTGATTTTCCTATGTGTTGTAAATTCTATCACTATGATGATATTAATGATATGGAGTAGTGGCAGTTATGTTGATAAGACCTACAAGATTAGATTGTGTCTTAAGCCAATCTCTTTTGAGATATAAAAGAGAGAAGCAAGCAGAGACATGGGGACCTCATACCACCAAGAAAGCAGCGCCGAGAGCAGAGCCCGTCCCTTGAACCTGAGTTTCCTTCTTGGAGAATCTCCTAGAACAAGGCAAGATTGATGACAAGGACCTTCCTCCAGAGCTGACAGAGAGAGAAAGCCTTCCCCTGGAGTTGGCGCCCTGAATTCGGACTTCTAGCCTCCTAGACTGTGAGAGGATAAACTTCTGTTTGTTGAAGCCATCCACTTGTGGTATTTCTGGTATAGCGGCACTAGATGACTAAGACAGGAGGGTATTGTAACCTCATAACTCATTTGGATGGGAGTAGTTAGTCCTTAGGGAGGAAGTGTAGACAAAGGAGTCTCAGGATGGAAAAGCAAGAGAATCTGGAAAAATGTTTTTGAGAGAGCAAAGTACCGAAAATTATAGAAATTGTTCAAAGAGAACCAGGCTTCCTTCCATTCTCCATCCCTTGCACCCCTGTCCTAAGGGGGGGGGGGCGTAAAGAAGAAGGAGGTTTAAATGCTTTTGCTGTCACGCACACCTGAATTTTAAATTTTTCCAAAGAGAGGCTGGAAATGAAGTTATTTATGATTTAATGCATATGTGCACACCCACATGGGTGTTTTAAGTTTTTTTCCTCAGAAATTCTAGAAAGGAATGGAATAAATAGATAAATTGTGTAGGTTTACATAGAAAGCCACCAAGCAAATCCTCCTTCAATAGGGTGGAGGGTGAAAGTGTCCTGGCCAGTGCTCAGGGGTCCAGTGTGTCCTGCATCTGAGCCTGTCAAGCTGAGCTGGGCAAAGAGATAGGGATGTGGTAACTCATCCCTCCTTTGAGCCGTTACCACAGCAACTTCTGACTGATGAGAGTGTGCTCCACATCTAGTCTGTGGCTGGTTCCACAGAGACTTGCATAGTGCCTGGCTTGTAATAGGTGGTGAGTAGATAGTTACTTATTAATTCCCCTTTTTAAAAAACAACAATATGTATTCTTCTCTTGTCCCCTTGCTTGTGAATCCTGAATACCCTATCAGACTGCCTAAGACATAGGTTAATAAATGTTTCTGAATTAAATGAAAACTGGAAACATAAAAGCAGAGGGAAGGATAAGAGGAACTCTACCTCTACAGGCAGAATGAACACATCGAGAGAAAGAAAGCAGGAGGCGTGGCGTCTGCAGCAGGGAAAGAGAGTGTCTGCTTCCTTCCTTCTTCCATCCTCTGTCCAGGAAGTCAGAACTTACTAGAGAGGAAATAACTGGCCCTGGCTGAGAGATTTTTATCAGAAGCTATACAGTAGGTGCTACCATTCCCCATAGCCCAAGACGGGCAGGGGAGAGGGACTATCTTCAGTCTAGAAAAACACTCACCCCTTCCTCAGAACATTTCAACTGTGATGGAAGAGACTGTGATTAAGCCTCAGAGAGAAGTGCAAATCTGGATGGTGACAGTAAGTGAGGGATGGGAAGAGGGAGAGTGAATTTTGGGGAGGACCAGGAGGGAGGAGGGAAAGTCTAGGAGAAGGGAGACTCCTTGTAGACTGTTGCTTGCCCTGGCTGTAAGAGTTATGGATGGCTCTAATCCAGGGCTGGGGGATTAGATTTTTGGCAGCTCTGTCCAAGGACCGGTAGTGACTGATAATCTAGTCAGTCTGCAAGTGGGTGGGGAATTCCATCCCCTGAGAGAAGAGTTGGCTGTAGCTTCCTCCCTGTTTGT